CACATTTGTTGCACTCATTTCAACTTTTTTCAGCCCAATTCAGCAAAAATGTGCTCTCTCCACTTCTAATAATTTAAGCTTCTTTCTGCTTTTTAAGCTACTATTCAGCTGTTTGTTTGTGTTTTTGCAAATGTCTGGGTTTTTTTTTCAGATAATTTCTTATTTTCCCCTAATTTCTGCTTCTTTAAGTCTAATTGGGCACAATTTTGTTCCCCAATTTCTTCTGGTATTTTAAGCTTCTTCCTGTTTTTTTAAGCTACTTTTCAGCTATGTTAGCTAATTTCTGCCTTTTTTTAGCTAGTTTACTAATTTTTGTGCTCATTTCTGCTTATTTAAATCAAACTCAGCAAATATGTGTTCCTTCTGCTTTCTTCTGCAAACTTAGGCTTGCTCTTCTATTTCAGCTACATTTCAGCATATTTTAGCTCATTTCAGCTGTTTTTCAGCAGGTTCTTTAACAATAAGCATTCACACTGCATTTTTGCAGGAAATGCAATTTTTCTAGCATTTTTTTCTTCTTCTTTAAGGCGTGTCAGCAATCCTTTTTACATCTGATTTTATGCGCATGACACTCAATTATGACTCATCATTCATATAGACAACTTAAACTAGTTCTTGAGAGGTCGGAACATTTTGCTTGTCCTAAAACACACCCTTTAATGATGCTTTAAATTCCAGACAAAGCATGCACTGCAAAAACATTTCTGTACATTATCCAGAAGTGGTAAATAAAAAAAGAGCAAACATCTGAAACAGACAGACCAAATGTTGAGGAGAATATTCAAAAATGAAATGATCCGAGTATTCTGCAGCTGTTTGAAGATCAGTATTTTCGTTTTACCCTGAGATTTTTATTCTTCTCAATGTTGCAGATACCTCAGAATACATGTTGAACGTTAAGAAAAGTACAAAAAAACAAAGAGCAAATTGTTTATGCAACAAGTTAAAAGTGATGACCTTTGCTTTTCAGAAAGTCATGTTTATCTGATCTGTAGAGATGCAGGTTGTGAACTTCATGCAGACTGGGCTGATGCGTTGATTTTACTCTCGCAAAGAAGTTAGCAGTGACGTGAACCTAAAACTCAACGGCAACAATAAAAGGAAAGCCTCTGCAACCACAAGAAGCATCGAGCATCAAATCTGCTGTTTGTCTACAAAGAAACAAAGATGTTTAGACGGGCTCCGTCTCCAAACGCAACGTGTTTTGTATCGACAACTATTAGTTTAAACAGTTTATGATTTACACAGCTTGTTTGTGGGCTGTATCTTGGATCTCTGTGATTTTAAGATGAAGGGCTGAAGGCTAAAGTATGTGGAGGTTGGTTTGATTTCAGGAATGTTGTCCATCTGGCTCATCGAAACAGAAACGCACAACCACCTCGTCCAGTTCACATCGAGAAGAGACAACACCCAAACTCTCATACATCAGCTTGTTACTGTAGCTCCTCAGGATAGTGGCTCGGGGTGACATGAAAATAGGAAGTAAAAAACTAAATAATACATTAATTTAGTTGTAGATTGCCTAGATATGATGGCTCCTCCGTCATCCGCACACACAAAACCACTGGGATTATTTTCTGAGTTGCTCTTAGATCATCTGTGATTAAGTTTTTGCTCCAACATATGAATCATAAATTTCAAGATTTAATTAAATACTGCGCAGCTGGGTTGTTTTTTTCAAAGGTTAATCCAAAAGTAACAAAGTCTGAGTGATTTCTCACCATGAATTTAACACCGTTGGTTTGTCCTTGTCGTCCCTGAGGAGGGACACATATAGAGACAAACAGGACAAGCAGCCGTTCACACTCTCACTCACACCTAGAGACGATTTAGAAATCAGTAAACTTAACAAGCAGGGATTTTGGTGTGTGGGAGGAAAACCTGCGTTCTCATAAATAAAATTTAAAAAAAAACACACGGGCTCGAAGAGAACGTGCAAGCTATTGTTTCATAAAGTTTAAATATTTCCTGAATTGTTAAAATATATCTACAATATCCTGATGCATGCTCAATAATCCAAGTAGAAAAATCTAAAACAGTTAAGTCTAAATATATCTACAACATTTAAGTAAAAAAATTAAATAAAATAATAGGTGCATAAAGTACTTCAAGTGCAGTTGTACACTGATTTTGGTGTTTTCAGAGACTCGTTACTGCGTGCTCTCGTCGGCTGTTGTCACATTAAACATAATATATGTTTATTAAAGTAAAATAAGACTACTTCAATGTGGTTTTAGACTGTTGACAGCACACACAACATGAATACAACATGTGGCTTTAATGTTGAAACACAGTGATGGGCATAGCACTTAGTAAGATGGCGGTAATGCAACTTGCCCAACACAATCAGAGGCTATTTCTATTTGAGTAGTGGCCAGTAACTATTTTTGAACCACATCGACGTTGCTGTGAACTCTGGTGCTGATGATCTGGAGTGAGTGTGGCTGATGGGATAAGGACTGCAGGACCATTCAAGCTGAACAGAAAACCTGTTTTTGCAGTATCTCCTTCAAAAAGCATTAATTTCCAGTCTGTTTTGTATGTTGTGTATTTGACATCAAATTGGGTTTCATTATGGCAAAAGCATATTAAGTGTCAAATATCATAAATATCTTAGATGCATGTTTTTAGAGACATTATTATTATTATTATTAATCAGACAGAAGAGTTAGCTTCTGACTTATTATTAGAACAGAAAGTTGTGAGTTTGAATTTTATCTTGTGTGACATTATTGTAGAAATATCAGATATGTGTGGATATATATGCCTAAAGATTTGTTTTCCCTTGTTTCAATTTTATTTTTTTACAAAGTTGTAAATCACATTCAGTCTTCATTAACTTCCATTTAAGGTAGACTGTGGTGACAGTTAACGCAGGACGTGTCTGTAATCCAGTGATCAAAAGGCAGAATATGTGGTTGGACTAGCCTGCTCCCAAGAGCTTGAAAAAACAAACAAATGAGCAACGCGATGGTTTAGTGGTTAGCACTGTCACTTCACAGCAAAAAGGTCCTGGGTTCAAGTCTCAGGTTGGACTGAGGGTCTTTCTCTGTGGAATTTGTATGCTCTCGGGCTTGCATGAGTTTTCTCCGAGTACTCAGGTGTCCCCACAGAGTAAAAATAAATAAATAAATCGATTAATTAATTAAGTTAAAAAATCAAACATGTGTATGCACAGGTTGCTTTCAGGCCCAGGCATGAAGATTAAATAATTAATAATCAAATAGTCACAATTGTTTTAAAATCTGAAATGACATATCGCTGACCCCGTGGCCCCTCCAGAAATGTTTTAACTTGGTGGCCATGTGGGGGCCACAGGAAATCCAGGGGTGGCAACAAAACTGAAAGCAGAGTTCCAGGAGATTTGTTACGTTGTTGTCATATAAAAGTTGCATGACAAATGCAGGAGTGAGGGAACCACCATAAACATGTTAACTTCATTATTTATTCATTTATTTTGTTGTATGTACTCTTAATTTTATGTACTGGGAAAAGCACTGTCACTACTCAACTTATTGAAGTTTGTCCTTTCTTAAATCCATCCATTATCTTTACCCGCTTATTCCATTTTTGAGACCACAGTGTCTGTTTGAGCACAGTGTCTGTTAGAGCACAGTGTATGTTAGATCACACATTGTATGTTAGAGCACACATTGTATGTTAGAGCACAGTGTCTGTTAGAGCACAGTGTCTGTTAGAGCACACGTATGTTAGAGCACAGTGTCTGTTAGAGCACAGAATCTGTTAGAGCACAGTGTCTGTTAGAGCACATAATCTGTTAGAGCACAGTGTCTGTTAGAGCACAGTGTCTGTTAGAGCACACATTGTATGTTAGAGCACAGTGTCTGTTAGAGCACACATTGTATGTTAGAGCACAGTGTCTGTTAGAGCACAGAATCTGTTAGAGCACAGTGTCTGTTAGAGCACAGTGTCTGTTAGAGCACAGTGTCTGTTAGAGCACAGTGTCTGTTAGAGCACAGTGTCTGTTTGAGCACAGAATCTGTTAGAGCACATTGTATGTTAGAGCACAGTGTCTGTTAGAGCACAGTGTCTGTTAGAGCAATGTATATGTTAGAAAACCAAACACTTGTATCTAAAAAAGTTAAATCTGGTCCTCTGGATATTCAAAAAAACAAAACAAAGCAAAACAACAAAAAAATGTAGAAACGTTTCGTCTCTCATACGTTTCTACATTTTTTTGTTGTTTTGCTTTGTTTTGTTTTTTTGAATGTCCAGAGGACCAGATTTAACTTTTTTAGATTTTCCTACCTGTATTATTGAGCATGCATCAGGACAAACACTTGTATAATTTCTTATGATGATTATGCACTGGTTGGTTTTCTTTAAAGTCCAGTCAAGGCATTTACATTTAAACTCTTGTCTAACGCAGGTTTACCTACATGTTTGATTTTATTTTCCCTTTAAAGACAGCACAGAAACAGCAGTTGATATTGTAAACTGTGTGTTGATCAACAGAATAAATAACCAATAATCCAGCTGTAGATGTAAAGTCATGAAGCTGGTGAAAATTCAAGTTCATCTTGTTTGTGAACGACGCAGTTGTCCAAGAACAAAATGTGACGTTTCTCTGCAGCTTTTAGGCGGTTATGAACATTCTCTGAATTCTTGAGAGGAAAAGTCTGTAAATGTATGTCAGTGGGTTTCTTCGTGGCCTTCAGGATGCATTCCAGGTGACGACGTATCGACAGGTTGAATGTGCGGCGTTGGGCTGAACCGTCCACCTCAGAAGGAAACAGGTTATTCTCACACGAGGAAGTGACAAACGGATACACTCCCTCGATAATCGCTCTGAAACTGCAAGCCTGTTAAACCGAGGAGGCCAGTACAGGCTGTTCCAAAAAAAAAAAAACCTCATGTGACTCATTCCTGCTGCTTCTTTGTTTTACTGAGGGCAGGGCTGAGAGGAGGAGCAGGAGGAGGAGGAGGAGGGGGTGGGTCAGGAGGTGAGGCTCATACAGGTGAGGCAGGTCATCATCTCAGCTTGGACCTGTCAGAAGTCGCCATCAGCAGCAGCAGCAGCAGCAGCAGCTCACACACGCACACCTGCATACGGACCACAACACACCGCCAAGGTAAGACCGCAACAATTTCATCTCAGAGAAGGACTTTAATTTGAAAGGTTTGCTGGGAAATTTCACATAAAAAGAGCATTTTCACCTAAAATCTCCAAACTCATTGGTTTCTTGTTTGCATGACTTGTTTTTTTTAAGCATTTTCTATAAAATCAGCTTTTAAATACACTATTTTGAATTCAGTTTATTTATAATATAACTACTTATATTGCACTAAATCTGTTTTTCTTTTTTTTTTTCTTCCGTCTTGTTATTTCTTGCCAACTTGCACTTTTAATTTTTTTTTTTTTTTTTTTTAACCAACTTCTGGAAGTGAGACGAAAGCACAATGTTATCTCCAACTTGATCCAAAGGAATGAATCGAACCAGCGGAGCGGAAACGGGCATCGGTCGAATAAGCTTCAAAACATTCAACAAAAAATTCAAACACACAGCTAAAGTGTCCTGACAAGCTTGAGAACGTGCACAGAAGGCTTATTGTTTGATCTGAAATAAGACTTGAACTGTAAAATAATGGCTTAACACCCTAACTTAGCTAGATTATCACAAAAGATGCTCAACGTTATTTATTTATTTTGGTGTGGTGATCATTTTTACCATAACCAAAGTGATGAGAGATAAACTTTGCCTCTTTCATCAGCTGATTGCAACACAAAAAAATCTCATTTACAGCTAAACATTCTTCTCGACGCAGTCGGGTTCGACCAGCACAGATTTCAGATCTACAGTCGGGCCACGCCTGACTTTGATATGTTAACGAGAGAAGAAAGGTTTGTTCAGAGTCAGGAGGCCCACGCGCCGTCTAAACATCCCATCTGAATATAAATGTTGCTTGGCTAGAAAGTTTTTTTTAACTTTATGTTTTCCTTTTTTTGGAAAGAGCTTGAGGTAGATGGGAGGAATGTTCAGTGAAGACGAGAGGTTTGAGTGTGAAGCTTTCGCTCATGTCTGGTGTCTCGACCAGGCCCGGTCACTGCCTCGGTACCCAGAACCCTGAGACCGATGACATCTTGACGTGATCAACAGTTTTAACGTGACAAACCCTGAAACCAGCACGCCCAGTCATTCAGGTCAACCAGCTGAACCAGGGCCGCTCTCACACCTGACCTCCAGGTTTCATAGCAAACACTCGTCGAGGGGTGGGGGGGGGCGATCCGTGTTGAAATGCGTTTAAATCGCCATTTTATTTGACGACTCTTGAGAGTTGCGTTTGAGTTCACACCAGGCTTTTGCTCGGCACGCCCTCGGCCCAAGTCACAGAAACATGCTGCTCCGGCGCATTCCTCCAACACTTCATGGGTGGAAGCAGGTCCTGCGTGACCGAGAAGGTCTGCGTGTTAAGAAACAGACCAATCAGGACAGGGAAGAGGCCTTTTGGCCAAACCAGACAGAGTGCCAACCATATCAGGGCGTCGTGCCAGGATTTTCAGGGCAACTGTTGATACTTTAGAGACTGTTAATGGATTTGAAGCCAATATTAAGCATCATGGCTTTTTGCTGCAGTACTGACTTGGATTTTGGTCCACGTCCGTATTACCTGGAGTTCTGTTCAAAGTTAGGCAATGATTGACCCCCTACAAACATTTTCATTCCTAAACAGCTTTTATGAGCGATACGAAACTTGACATGAGCTCACAGGAGCTTGAGGACACAAATAAAATGGAACCTTGCCGGAGTTTTAGACACTGACATGTGTTCTGGATCAGTGGACGTGTCTTTTGCCGGGTCCACGGGGCATGTCTGGGACTTTGAAAGCCTGTTAGAGCTGCTCGCAGGCAAACGTGATGAGACGTAGCTGAACATCAGTTAGTCTGATGAATAAAGATAAAGCGGTTCAGCTCGTTGGCACTTCGTCGTCATTGGAAAAAAAAATAATCCTTAAGGGAAATGCTTGTTTTGGAAAAAATTGTGCTTATATTTTGGGTTCATTAGGAAGAAAAAGGAGAAAATTAGAAGTAAAATCATGTGGATGAACTCAAATTGTTTAATTGGATTAAAAATATCCTAAATTAACAAATCAAAATGAACGCCAGTGTAGTGTGGCTGTCACATATTTGGGCCTGGAGTGATGGATTAGTCCTCCCCGGGCTGAGAGAGGCTGCATTGTTGGGATGTTTCGTGTCAGCATCCCCAGGAAACGCCTGGGCGAGTCCGTCTGGTTGGCATGTTTCAGGTGTGGTCGCTCGCTGAAACTTCTTTTTCCAGTCTCTTTGTGCACAAACAAATACTTCCAGTGCCAATGTTTGCAGACGGGGATTTCTTTGTTGCTTTATTAATCCTTTTTGTTGTGCGTCATGAGAAAACTGGATCAAACTTTAAGGAACATTTAAGCTCATGCGTTATCTGTCTCTGAATGATGAAATAATTAAACAGGAGCTTTATTTAACCCAAATTAAGTTAATTCTATTTAACTTAATTTAACCTTTGTAATTTTTAAGAACTTTAGCTTACTGTGAGAAAAATACAGTGTTTAAAATTCACAAAACCTGGCATCTAATGCTTATTTTATTCAAAGCAATTCCTTTCACTTTATACATTATTTTAACACATAAAAACTTAAAGCGCACAAATATTATTAACTTTGAGAGAGTCTAAACATCAAATTACATGATCTCAATTTTAAAAATGGTTTATTTTTCTCATGATCAACAGTTTTACAGCACCTCTTGTCAGACTGAAATGCTTTGACCAGTCCTTTTTGTATTTCTTTAATTTCTTGTAATGTACCAGTTGGTCAACAATGATGAAATGTGAGACAGCTTTGTTTGATTTGAGCCAAAATAGCCATAAACTGGTGTCTAGACAACAGAATGATGTAGATAAGTAACAGGAAAAAAAGCCTGAAGCACATTTCAGGCACTTCTGGAGATTAAGTTCTACTTTAAGATGTTTTAACTTTGCAAGGTTTTGGTAGAGACTACAAAATATAAATAAATTGTAACAAAATGAAGGAAAATGTAAAAGTTACAGATTAGGCATTGACTAGTTGAAGGATTAAACACACATATATGTTAATAAGATCACCCTTTAGGTCAGAAGTCAGTATGGATCCTACATTCAGAGGTTTATGTTTTATTTTTACGACCAAATTACAAGACTGATGCACAAAATAGAAGAAAAGTAGAGCATAAAACAGAAAAATTAACTAAAAACTGAAGTTAACATGAAGTCAGCTCAAACAAAATGTCCATAAATTATAATTGTCCTTTCATTTCTGTCTGTGTGACAAATTCAAATATCTTCCTGCCATTAGAAATCAATGCAGGCAACAATCAAATTAAATAAGATACTAAAATGAATAAATAATAAAAGAACATAAAGCTCAACTTATGAGCATGCAGCAGGATAAAGCTCAACATGAATATGACGTGCAGGCAACAAAACGATCATTTAGCAGCAGATTTGTGTTTTTGCATCTAAAGCTGATGCAGTTACACTCAGCTCTGCAATCAACATGTGCCTCTTTCAGTCAGGACTGACACAAGTTGCCATCACAGCCTTGGAGGAGGTTTTCATTTTATTTCAGCTCCAGTAGTGAGGTTTGTCTCCATCTGATGGCAGAAATATTGCTGCAAGCTTTTAAAAAGAACGCTTGGGTTTTAAATGTTTTAACTGGTTAAATTTTTCCAAATTACCCCATCATGATGTTTTTTTTTTTCTTCTTTTTACAGCACTATGAGTGCAACTGGGACTAAAGACCCCCCTCCCTACCTCATCCCAGGTAGACCTGAACACACACCTGTTCTCACACACTCATCATCATCATCACCATCTTGTTTCTGTCTTTAATCCCCTTTCTCTTCTGTCCAGTAGAAAATAAGGGGAGCGATGTGAAGGTGTACCACGTGCACACCCCGTTCACCCCTCCCAACACGCAGGACGTCACTGTGTCTCAGGATAGACCAGGTAATGCTTTAGGCTGTAGGAAGCAGGGACGTGGTGGGTGCTGCAGCGCCCCACGATGGGCGCCAAAGAACATGATGACAAGATTAATTTAAAATAATTAACAAAAACAAATGTAATAAGTGCTCACAATCTTTAAATTTTCTATATTTTTACAAGCTTAACAAGAGTTAGCAGATTAGCATTTAACGTTAGCTATATTTTATATACATTTTCTCTCAGGTTACACCTCACTGCATGTATTTAGTATTTTATTTGGGTGCTTAGATTGAATTGTCTATGCTCACAGCACCACCCAACTGAAAGCCATGCTCACACCCAAACACTAAATTAATTTTTTTTTACAACCACATCAACTTTAAAACGTAATTTTTTCATCCAGTGCGACTCATTTTTAACTATCTTCCCCTCTCCTCAGTGTACACCAGTGGAGGTGGAGGCGTCGGATCAGAGCGCCTCCCTGGGGAGTCTAAAAAGAACTATGTGAGCTATGATGTGGGGCTGGGCCGTAGCCCCGGCATGACCACCTGCAGCGCCTGCAACCAGCAGGTCATGACTAACGTCCAGTATAAGGCAGGAACGTACGCCTGGCTCATGTGCTTACTCTTCATCTGCTGTGGGTGAGTGGGTGACGGCTGGTCTACACCATACTACATGTCCGCTCCAATAGGAGATGGCTGAACAAAAACATGCTCGTAAACACAATTCGTGTTATTCAGGTGGGACACATTCATCTGAACTGGAACAATGAAAAGAAGGGAGGAGCTTACAAATATAGAAACTGAAATATATGACAGGCCAAAAAATAATAAAAAATAATAATCACCCATAGATCGGGATTAGGGTGCTGTGGCCTTTGACAGCAGCATATTGCACTGCAGAGATAAAATTTACAAAAAAAAAAAAAAAAAAAAAACCTAAAATTGTCTCTATAGAAAAGTGGGATTTGAATAAAACAAGATAAAACCCAACCCTCTTGGGACCTCAGTAGCTCTTGTCAGGGAATTTTTGGTCAATGTTTATGAATGTTTTTAACTATTATGGCTGAGAATGTTAATTGCCCATGAACCATGTGTTTGAGTTAGCAGAGAGTTATTTTCTCTCTCAGAGAGGGCTAAATGAGAAGCTGATTTGATCCTGCATGTGCAGCTGTGGCCGAGGTCATCAGTGTCTACCTGTACCGGAAACTGATAAGCCTATAAAAACAGTTCTTGCACACTGCCCGGTGCAGATTCTCGTGACTGGGCTCCATGCGTGTAGAACTCCTTTACATCTGTGTAACCTGTTGTAAAGTCTGGCCTTGCGAGTAAAATTGGCTAAAAATCTTCTCGTGTCCTCAAGTGTGGGTTCTTTCAGTAAGATGAAGAGAGGATTTTTATATCCATCAGCTCTGACCTGCTTCACAGCAGAAACATCATTCAAAGTTTAAACAAGTCACAGAAAGTTGGACTTTCCATGACTGAACCAGCATTTTGATATCTTTTATCGTTTTTACACAATCACAGATTAGGTTTTAGGATTTATGGATATTTTATAACATGAGACAGAAGTGTGCGGTTACCATGGTGACCACAACAAGCCACTGGCAGCAGCTTTTGTATTTATATTGATCTATGTAGTTTATATATAAAAACGTCAGTATTGTATTAGCTTAGATTAATAAAACAGTAATTAAATTATGATTAAGCTTTCCAGAAGTTTATATTTGACAATTTAAAAATTTTGTCCAACATTTTCTAGCTTTTCATGACATTGACTTTTAATCCTGTTTTTCAGCCAGGTGCTGAACATAAATCAGATTACAACATTTGACGAAACATTTAAAGTCTTTAAGAACAGACAAAACGGAGCAAAAAAGACAAATATTAAAACAAATCAAGGTGCCCGAACGAATGGAAGTAACGCTGCGTTTGTGTTTTTCTCTGCAGATTGTTCTTGTGCTGCTGCCTGATCCCATTCTTCCTCGACAGCTTCAAAGATGCCTACCACACATGTCCACGCTGCAATAAAGTCCTGCACATCGAGAAGAAGCAATGCTGCAAATAACGAGCAGGAGGAACAAAAATGGACCCATAGAAATAATGATAAATACACAAAGAAAACACCAGCTTTTTTCATCCTTTGGGTGACTTGATGAAGATCAGGCCGCCGTGCCCGATTCTGACGCTGACTCAGCGAGGTCACCCTTGCCTACTTCTATGGAGCAACCATTGACTTCCTCACTGCATTACAGTATGTTATTTTAGCAAACACGCTGGGGGGTGATGGTGCTGTCAGAGATTAATAAATACTTATATATATATGTATATATGTATATATATATATATATATATATATATATATATATATATACATATATAAAACCACGTGCTGAAAAATCTCAACCTCTGGCAGGTTCATGCACACTCCATGCACCTTTATTTTTTATTTTTTACATCAAAATGAAGGCTGTACATAGATTCTATCCAACACTTCACGTTTCAAAGGGTTTTAACATCTAAACGGATCAGCTTGCAATTTGAAGGGACTGTCAAACTTTTGAATAACATGTAAGCAAAAGTGCTTAAAAAAACTATTTCCTTATAAACATGTTCTGCACAGAAGATACAAGAAAATTAACCTGCAGCGTTCAAACCAATCTGTTTTTAAATATTTTCTTTTGGAAAATCATCCTTTACATTTTTATGTAAGGTGGATAAACAACATATTCTATGGTATATAAGAAAAACTTATATATTGCACAATAATCGCCACATGTAAGTGTAAATAAGAATGTCATTTATATTCTTTTAATCTTTACCTCCAACCAGGAGCACCGGAAATTATTATTTTCATTTATTACAGTATATGGGGCAGTGCAAAAATAAACAATACACCATTTTAATTTTTTTTTGTTATGTTTTATAACATGTTGCAAACAAATGTCTGTTTGAAAATCAGCCATTGTCTAGAAAAACTCACACAAAAAGCTATTTTCTGCTCTTACTCTACCACTGGATGAGCATGCTTCCGTTATTTAGTACGATTGTTACAAAAAAAAGTTTATCCAATAAAAGTAGATCAAATAATATGTGGCTCCTGGCTGAGTTTATGTTAGTAAAGCAGCTTTTTCCTTGCTCTTTGTGAAAAAGCACAAAACTTCTGCATGTTTGACATAGTGCTCAAGCAATAAAAGCATGAAGGAAATCTGCTGCCTTCAGCTTTGATGACTGCTCGATGGATAGTCCAGATCTTTTGAAAAAACTTGGAGTCTGGTAACGCCATATGCCTTACAACTTCTGCCAGATTCTAAACTTCTTTACACTGAGGTTCACATACCTGTAACTTGAATTTTTAAATCGTTCAAAATAATTTGTGACATGTTTTTTCTAGAAATGGTGACAAAGTCTTGATGGGCAACTCTAATTTGTCTTGAGCTCGTCTTAATTTTGTCTCTCCAGACCATCTTTAGTGTGAACGAAGGAGAAAAATATATATTTTAAGGTCAGCCTTAAAATGTCACAATGATGTGATTGTATAGATTTATGCAGCCAATGTGCATGACCAAGAGCAGTTTTGCAAGCTGTGCACACAAAAAGTCAAAGATTTTCAAAAACTCACCATTCAAATACACTGCTCAGTGCAGGTGAAAATGTTTTCTTACAATTTAGAGGGATTTTTTTCTCCAGCTGGTCTCCAAAACAGTTCAGTGAGACACCATCACAACAGATCCACTAAGCTGGTTCGTGTTCATTTCAGTTTGTTCACATTTGCAATCTGAATTAATTGATTTGTGCCAACTCTCATGTGAGCACAATTCACAGAGGACTGAGCACACATCCATGAGGGACGCCTGTGCATAGCTTGATGGAGTTTAAAGTCTTACTGCCAACAAGAACTGTTGTCTTTATGACAAGTTCAGAATCCAGTGCAAGTGATGTTTTTAGTCTGAGCATAGTGAGCCTCGTTGAGGGATGTTTGTGTAGAAGAGATGTCAAACAGAATCCAAGCAAATCTGATCTTAATTTTCCATGTCGAATAACAAGCACTTTTTATTGCCCTCTGCCATGAAAGGCCTGCAATTCTTGTGAATAAAATTCCCAGAAAGTAATTGGATGTACATCTACAACTTCTAGAGTCAACCCAATTAAAGATGGCTGCCACTTTTTGACATTAGCAAACACAAAAATGTCTGATGTCATTGGTTATACTGATACTGGGCCAAAATTTGGTGTGGTAGTAGCTGAGCGTGATTCAACACAAAGTCCTAGCACTAAAAGACCATGCAATACTTTAAAAAGTTAGTATGCTAGGCAGTGATATGAAACGAGAAACGTTACTTTCATTTAGGTTTAAACTGATTAAATTTTACGTTTGAGAATTAAACCATTTTTAAAGCTTACTCATTGTCCTTTTGAATTTAGTTGATTGTGCCCAAACTGCACGTTTTAATCATTTTCTTTGGTAGTCACTGAGAAAAATCTGATCAGCTAAAAATGATTAACACTTTCTTACAGCAGGGGTGTCCAAACATTTTCATAGGTGGGCCAGAACAGAACAGTCTAGGAAAAAGAATTTGCAGTCTAGAAAATTCAGAAGATTTTTTTTTTCTTTCTTAATAACTTGAATATTTTGGAGAAACGTTAAAAGTTTTAATTCTTGTAGATCCAGAAAATTATGAGCCTCATAAACAACATTTTTATTAGTTTTTTTTTTTTTTTTTTTTGGGGGGGGGGGGGGGGTTAGAACTATTATTTGTTTTCTTGTGCTTTGAAAGTCCATTTTCATTTATTTTCCATAAGCAAAAGCCTAAAATGAGTAACTGTTCTTTAAATCAATCCACCATTTGGACACCAGACGGCCCAAATGAGTCATCAAAGTTCTGAAAAACAGCTGGCAGTCGCTAAAACAGATTCAAAGGTTTGAAGGGACACTGATAAAGTTGATCAACTTGTATGTCGATAACACTTTATATTCTTTTAAAAATGTCCAATTTCTCCCCATCAATTATTTAATCAACTGAAATTATTTTCTTTGAAAACACTTGTATTGAGCCAAGTTTTATGTTTATCCAAAATTCTACATTTTGGTTGGTCAATGAAGGTTTGTTGTAGGATAAAGGGATTAATTATAGATAAATATTTGTATTGTACTTAAATGTATTACATTTAAAAAGTAACAAATCTAAAAAGTCTACATCTGGAGCAACCTCTGAAGCATGTGGGTGAAAATTATACCATAACTGCTGTCGAGGACCGCACAAAATCACTCCAAGGACCACAAATGGCCCTCAGGCCGCACTTTGGACACCCCGTCTTACAGGAACTAGTAGCTGGAAGTCGAGTGACCTGTAGGACCTTTTCAAAGACAAGTTAGCCAGAGATGGAACAAAGCCATTAGCGCAGTAACATGATCACTTCAATTTACTACTTATAATCATACCATCTGAGGCGAGTGACAAGAGCTAAATCATTAAAAAAAAACAAAAAAAAAAAACAGCATGTTGCCCCAGTGTGGTCAAGCAGTGAAGCCGTTAGTTTTATAGAAAATTTTATTCAACATACATTTTCCAGCAAAAAGGCAATATACAGGAGTAGTTGTCGTACACTGCTGCTACACTGAGGAGTTTAAACCGGAAAAGGTCAAATTAAGGTGATTCTGCAGGTCATCTTGGTACTGAAGTTTTTCAACAAACCACCGCAGTTTTAAAAGAAGAAAAAACTCTGAAGGTTGAAACAAGAAAAAAAAAGTAAATGGTACATCAGGAACAGAAAAAAAAAAGGGGGGGGGGGGGGAACTACACACAATCTGAACACCTGGCTCCTTCTGTACCGAACAACAAAAGCGCTTTTTTTCTTAAATTTTACACGTTCGCATTTTTAATATACAGTTCTTAAATGTCTTTACAGAGCCAGCTATGCGTTTGAAGGGATGCATGCCATCTGTGCTTAAAAATAATGAAAAGAAAAATAAGTTTATAGGGCTTGAAGTGTTTTTTCCTTGTAGTTTTCGTTGCTGGTTTTGGCTCTACACCTGCGGGGCTCTGAGTGTCTGCAGCTCGACCAAACGACGGAGCTTCTCCTCTCAACCACGTGGAGGCAGAAAAAAAAACAAAAAAATGACGCTCGTTTAAATTTTAAAATACTCGAAAATTATGAGGGGGCAGTTTGTGCACTTGTTTCTGTGATGTAACCACCGAGCAAATCACAACCAGTGTACATCTGCCAGTCCTGAGAAGCCTCTGAAGGGCCAACCTTCCAGATGAAATACAGACAAATCTTTTTTCTCCATTTATTTTAAACAGATGCCGTTTTGCAGATTTTTTTATTTTATTTTATTATACAAGATCTGCATAAAAGGAACAACAAATGTACTTTATCCTGCAACCAAACTAAGTGAGAAAGAACTTTGTGTAAACTTGGAAATACTGTTTTTTGTTGCGCTATAGGATGGGAGAGGAAACTCTTAAGGAACCTCGACAACGAGCCTCAGGGTGGACACCAGCTTCTTCTGAAGAACATCCTCATCACAAAAACAAATATTTAAAAACACCCTCAGGGGCCCAGCTTTAGTCCTCTCCAACACTCATCAAATGCTGCACACAGCAGAACGATTCCTTGGGGAGAAAACAAAACAATTAAAAAAAAAAAAACAACCCTAACCTCAGAAAAGGTGAATAACAAGGAAAAGGAAACAAAAGAATTCCTCTTCACTTTTCAGCTTAAAATCTAATTTCATGTCTCCCACTTCCAGACAGGCAACAAAAAGCAGGCAGTGAACAGGTAGAAAAGCCAGGGTGGGGAGGGAGGGACAACTAAACAGCCTCAGAGGGAGACAAATAAAAGAAAAAAGCAAACAAAACAAAACAAAAACCTAGAAAATGTACAACAAAAATCAAGTCGGGAGGTGGTTGGTGCAATTTATTTTGTGGTTGAAGAAGAATCTGTCAGCTGCAGTGAGATCCTGTATCTCTGGAGACGTGGTGCCGTTGCAGAGCTGTCCAGGCGGGTGTTAACGGTGATGAACGAACACACGCACGCACTCACGTACACGCACGCACGCACGCACACGGTTGGTTACAGTCTGTGGTTATGGTTTGTTAAAGTAGGAGAGGGAGGCGGAGCGGGACTTGACGAAGAGGAAGGGCAGGCTGCTTTAGTTGTGGATCTTGATTGCTTTCTCCAGGTACGTGTAGCGACCTCTCTTTGGAGCTTTGTTGAAATGATCCAAGCCAAGCCAGGGGCGCGGGTGGGACATGCTACCTATGGAGGAGACACGTTCACATTCATGAGTCCCCTGCTGCCATCGTTAAGTGCTAATAATCCAAAATAAAAGTTATTTTAGCAGCTGAGTACGAATTATTGAACCCTTATGTGTTTCTAAAACTAAAAACCTTTGAGCATGAAGACTGAACAGGTGTCAGACAAACGTTACTAAATTACTGCGAGCCCGTTCATCAACCAGAAGAATTCTGCACTTCTCAATGAATGTTTCATACGTTTCCACATTGAGGTTTCCAGATTTCAAAAGTGTGTTTTGGGGTCGTTTTCAACTTCTAAATACAAAAAGTTTACTTTAAATTTACTGCAGATACAGTAGTCCCTAGCTACTTAGCGGTTCAACTTTCGGATGCGCTTGTTCACGGTTTTTCAACAAATGTCAACTTTAATAATATTGATTTTTAATTAAAAAAAAAAAGTTTAAACTTTCTTGATTTTATGTGTACAGAACTTTGTTGCAGCTGTAGTTGTTTTAAATTGTTTCACAAATTAATTATTATTATTATTATTATTTAATATTACGTGATTGGGATGGTACGGGATAAAAAGTTAAACTTTTGCCATTTTATAGTTTTCTTTCAATAAGCCTACACTGGAATGCCAGTAAAAAGAAAAAAAAAAAGAACTACACTACCCAGAAGCCAACAGTGCTTCCAGCCTCTGCTTTCTGTCAAAACGGAGGGAACATTTTGCAACGCAAAGTCAGAAGTAAAACGATCCACCTATGAAGCTGACAGAACTGGCATGTAAGTTACAAATAATCCTGAAGCTTCCTGAAGCTCAACTGGACGGGGCGGGGGTGGGGGGCTTCATCACTGCAGGGTAGGTCTGCCGAACCAGAACAG